CTTGAAGAGGGGGACAGGGTCCTGCAACAAAGCAGAGGATAAACCACGTGAAAGGAGTGAACCTGAGCAGCAGCAAGGAGAAGCACAATGGGGAGCCCAGGGAGTGCTGGCAGCTAAAACCAGAGGAAGATGTGACTGGGCTTTATTCAGGGGCTGAACAAGGCAACCTGCTGTGCCACAGCAGCAGCTCAGCTCTGTAACCCTCCCTCAGAGAGGGCAGGCACTGTGTGGGGCATTCAGCAGCTTCCCCAGAGCAGATGAGGATCATCAGTAACTCCTAAGGATATCTCTCTCTTTCTCCCTCCCTTTCTCCCTCCCTCCCTCCCTCAGCACGTGGCTGAACGCACCCCATGGAGAAGCTGCATGTGCAGCCACAACACCTCAGTGCTGAGCACTGCCTCAGGAAATCACCTTTTTTTCCAGGAGCCTCTGCTTTTCTATGGCTTCTTCCAAACTCAAGCCAACCCATTCAGCTTCTTCCTCTGGGATCACAAATTCCTGTGACAAAAGGAGGAAAAGGTAGCACAGTCTTTGCAGGCAACCAAGATACAAATCCACTCCATACCCAGTGTTGGAACCCTGATTGCTGAGAATCTGAGACTTTCTGTGCTGACAGGCACTGACCCCCAAGAGAATACAGCATTTGACCTGAGGCCATAGAGAAAACTTCCAAAATTTAATGACAGAACTAAAATTATAAGTGTGTAGTTTAAATAGAAGTGTATAATATCACACAGTAAAAAACTTAGCATTTAAAGTTTTAGATTATAGTAATATATATACAACAAGATAGAAGCTTTAGAACATAAGCTAGTCCTTCTTCTTCACAGGTTTAGGTGGTATTGCATAAATCCACAATTCAGACTACAAGTGGATAGTTGTTAAGTTAGAAGTAAAAACAATTTGTGTCATTTCTTAATTAGAAAATTTATCCTTTAAAAATCTTATAAAGAGAGAAATACAGCTCACATTTTTAGTTTACTAAAATAAAGTACTATAAAACTCATAGTTTATAAGAATATAATATAAATAAAAACTAATAAACATCGAAGTCCAAACAAAAAATACCATCTCACACACTCAATCCCAACCCTAACAAAAAAAAAATTAAAACTCCCTCAGCCCAGGACACAAACATGAGATCCAGTGGGAACATTACTAAGAACAAACCTCAGAGCCCTGTTCCCTCATTTCCAACAGCCAAGGTCCACCTCCCTTCTCTCCTTTCCCCTTAGCAGGGTCCTGCTCTCTGATCAGCTGTGTCTGCTCCTGCAATTCTTTTATGCACTTCTGGGGCTGTTTCTCAGCACAGCTCCAAGGACTGTGGGTGCTGGTGGTGCTTCCATGCTGGCAACCACCACCAGCTGCACAGAACTGACACAAACCGGGCACTCTGGGCTCCTCTCTCCAGGGGCAGCACAAATTCTTCTGCTTTTTACTGCAGGCTCTCGCTGACCTCAAGCACAGCAAAAATACTGCTTTTTCTGTCCCTAAATGATGACTACAAAAATTAGAAGCCCACAAAGAGACAAGAAAAACCTGATGATGTTTATATTTTCTTGTCCCTCAGCACAGGAGCACCAACCAGTGATGGGTGACCATCCAAACAGCAAACACCAGAACAGGCTGTTGGATTAAACCCTTTTCTGACCCAGAGATGGGGTAACTGAGAGGTGTTTTAAAAACTTTTATCCTATTTTCAGTTTCATGTGAAGGGTGAGACAATATAGACGTCATAAATTACACTATTGTAATCAGAAGTTAATGATTTTCAAATAAAGTATTATTAATAACAACAGTAATAATAATAAAAAACATCCAATATTATAAATAGTGTATCAGTAGAAATCTTTATATAAATATAATAATATTCTATTAATACAAATATTATATCACTATAAACATATTATTATAATTCTTTATCATAATGTATTACATTATCAATTATAAATAATATTATCTATTATAAATATGATTATGACAAATATTGTCATAATAAATATTATTATAATTATTAAGTGGTTTTTGGTTTATCAGTTTTTGTTACATTATGTTGTAAATGCTTTAAAGCTAATTATTTAAAATTACTCTTTGTGGGTTCTTATAATGTATTTTTCATAGTTTTATTTTTCATAGTTTTATTTTTCTAAAGTATTTAGTCTCATTTGTAAGGCTATCTTTTGAAACTTGTTTTAGTTCTATTTCTCTTAACAATATTTCTTATTCCATGGTATTTTGAAGCCAGTATCTCTCATCTTAAGGTTTGTGTAGAGATGTATATTACGCGAGATTTTCGTTAGGCTTTGGGAATACTTTCCACATTAATTTTCCACAGTTCCCCCTCTGTCCTGAACAGAAGCACACGAGGAATGCCCCCAGGTGGCAGAACGCACCCTGTACTTGTCATAGACGGCCTCTCTCCTGGCGGGGTCGCCGGGGTGCAGCGCGGGGTCGCGCCGGGCCAGGCGCAGCAGCATCGTCCTCTTCAGATCCATGCCCAGCTTGGAGCACAGCTCAGCCCGGGGCGTCTGCAAAGCACCGCGTCACACTGGCTGCCCTCTGCCGGGCCCCGCAGGGCCTCGCTGATGGGGGAGCCCTCTCCTGACAGTTTTGGGTTAGCAGAGACGCACGGGACTTTTTGGTGTTCAGCTGTTTATTGTTATCTAAAGCTTTGGCACGCCGTCTGTACCAGACAGCACACAGGGAAAGCACTGCAGAGTGGTTATAAGATTCACAGTTTCAAGGTCTCCTAAAGTTGTTTCATCTAATTAACTCTTAAAATGTACTTTATTTTTATACTTTTCTACTAATAACTCATCTCTTGTCTGTTTATGTAACTTTTGCATTGTGGCTTTCCTCACCCAATTATTTTTGTGCTACGAACCCTGTGGAAAATGGAGCAGATGAAGACAGAGACAACGCCCTAGATCTTCCATTTTGCTTTGGTCAACATCTAGATTAGAAATCTCAAAACCTAAATTTCTCACCCAGTGACAAACTATACTACTCTCTATTATCTAGTTCACACTTTGGTAGACTCTAGTCTGTGTTGAAGCCTTGCAAGCCCTCTCCATGGGTGAAGGGTAAAGGCAGTGTTTCTCTGGGGGTCAGAACCCCTCAGAGCAGACACAGAAATATTCTCTGTGCCCTGGGCTCCCCCAGGGTTAGGGACCAGCTGCCAGGGGCACAGCAGTGCCCCAGCACACTGCCAGCTCCTCCACACCCAGCACAGGCTCTCAGAACACACACGGGCAAAGATCTGTTGGATTTGTTCTGACAATTCAACCACAGCTCCGAGTTTGTGTATCAAGGGCTCCAGTCAAGAGGGGATTAAAGGCTGGGAGCATTAGACCTGTGCTAAAGCATTAACAGCAGCACTTGTTCAGCCTGGAGGACACTGAGGGCAGAGCTCAGGGGGGCTGCAGCTCCTCCCGAGGGCAGCTCCAATCTCTGGGACAGGGAATGGCTGGAGCTGGGCCAGGGCAGGGTCAGGCTGGAATTTGGGAAAGGTCCATCCCCAGAGGTGCTGGGCAGTGCCCAGGCTCCCCAGGGAATGGGCACAGCCCGAGGCTGCCAGAGCTCCAGGAGTGCTTGGACAATGCCAGGCACAGGGTGGGGTTGCTGGGGGGTCTGTGCAGGGCCAGGGCTTGGGCTGGATGATCCCTGGGGGGTCTATTCCAGCCTGGGATTTTCTGTGCCTAATCCAGGACTCCCTGCCTGCCAGCGGAGGCTGAGGGCAGCTCGGGCACGGTCCCGCGAGGCCGGGAGCCCGCCGGGGGTACCTTGAGGATGTAGAAGTCGAAGCCGAAGGCGGCGTCGATGAGGTCGAGCGTGCGCATGGTGACCGTGATGGTCAGCGTGGCGTCCAGGATCTCGCTGTAGAACTGCCGCTTGAACAGCTGCGGCTTCCACGTCTTGGGCAGCCTGGTGGAGAGCTGGGCACGGCCCGGCCGTCAGGGGCTGCCCCGGGGGAGGCGGCGGGCCCCGGTGGCACCGGCCGGGCCCGGGAAGGGCGCAGCGCTCACCTTGTCGTCGCGCGCGTAGCGGAAGCCGCGGACCCATCCCTCGCCGCCCCAGAGCCCCTCGTTGGCGGCGGGCGGGTAGTACACGGGCACCGGCACGTCCTGCACGCGCTCGCGCTCCCCGGTGCGCGGGTTCCGCCGGTAGCGCAGGCCGTGCGGCTCCCAGTGCACGGGAGGGGGCGGCGTGTTATCCTGCAGCGAGGCCAGGTAGTGCTGCGGCAGCCGGGCGCAGATGCCATCCCGCATCCGCATGGCGGCCCAGAGCCGCGGCGGGAAGCGGTGCAGCGGCATCGCCCCGGCCCCGCGTCCCGGCCCGGCCCGGCCGCCGCTTCCGCCCCGCGCGGCCGCCGCTCATTGGCTGACACGGACCGAGCGCGACGGCGGCCGGGAGGGGCCGCGCCGTGCCCGCGTTTGGTCCCGGCCAGCCCGGAGGGTCGGCCCGGGCGGGCCCGGAGCGGAGCGGGACGGGCACGGAACCGCTGGAGTTCCACCCCAATGGGCTCGGGAACACGGCTGGAGCTGTCAGGGCAGGGTCAGGCTGGAGTTTGGAAAAGGTTCATCCCCCGAGGATGCCGGGCAGTGCCCAGAAAATGCACAGCCAGAGGCTGCCAGAGCTCCAGGAGCGTTTGGACAATGCCAGGCACAGGGAGGGGTTGCTGGGTGTCTGTGCAGGGCAGGAGCTGCCCTGGATGATCCCTGGGGGTGCCTTCCCACTCAGGATATCCCGTTATCCTGTGAGGAAGAACACGCGGAGGGAGCAGAGCCCTGGGCTCCCTCTCTGGGCCATCCCAAAGCCCACCCGGACACGGCCCTGAGGGGGACCTGGGGGGGGCATGAGGTGAGGTGAGATGAGATGAGATGCGATGGTGATTAGATGAGATGAGATGAAGATGAGATGGAGATGAAGATGAGATGAGATGAAGATGAGATGAGGCCCCTTCCAGCCCTGTGCTTGTGTAACTGCAGCCACCAGGCGTCTGCCCGCAAATACCATCACCTTTATTAAATTATAAAACCGTAAGCTTTAAAATTTACCGTATAAAATAATCACAGGTATTAACAGCAAAGAAAAAAAAATAACCTTTTTCTTTTCTTTTTTTTTTTTTCCCCAGACACAGGAATTTGCTCAGATTTTACCCAAAATAATTAACCCTCCCTGCTGCAGGCACCAAGGCCGGGTCAGCAGGGAGGGGGCAAAGCAAAAATGAATGATCAAACATAAAATAAACAATCATGTCAGCGGGATTTCTTGCCCCAAAGCTTCTCCTGCTTCCAGCATGGAAATCCCTGAAGGGAAAGGCCCGATGAGGAATTATTGCTTTCTATGATAACCAGCAATGCCTGGCCATATCAGTGGCATCAGGTCACACTGGTGGCACCTGGGTCATGCTAGCAGCACCCAGGTCAACACTGGGGGCACCTGGGCCACCCTGGTGGCACCCAGGTCACACTGGCAGCAGTCAAGTCACACTGGTGGCACCTGGGCCACACTGGCAGCACCTGAGTCGCACCAACAGCACCTGGGTCACACTGGAAGCACACAGGTCACCTTGGCAGTACCCAGGTGACACCAGTGGCACCCAAGTCACACTGGCAGCAGTCAGGTCACACTGGTGGCACCCAGGTCCCACTGGCAGCACCCGGGTCACGCTGGCAGCACCCAGACCAGTCTGGTGGCACCCAGGTCCCACTGGTGGCCCGGCATGGACGGCACGGCTATGAAGGAGCGGTGGCCCCCTGCCAGGTGCTGGGGCCTCAGCACCGCTGTGCAAACCGAGACAGGGGACAAAAAAAGTGCCTAAAAGTGGTAAAAGTTGGAGGAAGCCCTGAGGGCCCCATGTCCCCCTTCCCTGGATGGCAGCAGCACAAGGAAAGGCAGGGGGCATGGGTGGCGGGGGGATGACACTGCTGGGTGTGGACAAGTGTCCCTCACTTGTCCTTAAGCCTGCTTAAAAAGGGGGACTTTGCAGAGGAAGGGGAGGCAGAGGGATAAAGTGCACAGCTGAGCTGGGTGCCCTTCAAAGCAGAGGAAGAACCCCGAAGAGGCAAATCCTTCATTAAAAGCTCTTTCCTCCCCAAAGCCACCTGAGGAGGGGCTCCCAGCAGCACACACCAGGCTGACACAGCTGGAAGGATGGAGTTAAGCCCTTATCTGTAGAAGAAGGATGGGCAAAGACAACTTCCCTGGTAGCCAAGTTCTGCCCTTGCTGTCTGCGTGCCCTGGAGTAAGGCTAAGGTGAGACACGCTGCAGAGGAGACCCTGGCCAGCCGGGGAGCCCCTGGTGATGCTCCTGGCTGGGCTGGGACTGCTGAGGCCTCAGGAGCCTGCAGCACATCCAGGCTCCGAGGCACAGCAGGCTGGAGGAGCAGCTCAGGCACCATCCCGAACCACCTGTGCCACCCCAGAGAGAGCCCTGCCCATGCCACACCCCCCAAAAGGAGGAAAACAGTGAATCCCTGAACACCATCAGCCTGGCTCCTTCCAGAGCTGAAGTTAGACTAAACCCTGCACTGCTGTGGGTTTCACATGCTGCTGCTGTCTCCTGCATGTCCCCACATGGGTTTTTCACATTCCTGCCCAGTCTGATCCTGAATCCAGGGCCCAAGTCCCAGCCTCATTCTTCTCCCACAGAATCAGGACCAGGTAAGAGCAGCAGCACCTGTTTCAGAGGGAGAGAGGCTCCAGACCTCCAAGGAGATGGCAGCCAAGGGCCCAGACATGCTGGGATCAGCTCCCTCCCTCCCCATCAGCACCAAGGGCACTCGGCAGCATTTGCTCCCCAGAGCAGAAGAAACGTGCTCTTCTCTTGGGTTCAAGTGCTGACTGCAGGATGGCAGGGGAGGTTCCTGTCCCACATCCTCTACCAGGATGGGGTGCAGAGAAGAGCCCAGCAGCCAAAGCCTTGGCTCCAGCTCAGTGTGGGCTAAGCCCAAGCCTCATGGATGCAGCAGCGGGGGAAGAAGGGTTGGCGATTTCCCCCAGGGCTGTGGGGAGGTGGGGGACAAGCTATTCCTCGATCTGGAACCATGAACAGCCTGCCCCACCCCAGCAGAAAAGCAGAGGTGGCCTCAAACTTGCCTCCACAAGACCATCCCAGACCATCTTCACCTTTAAACCCAGTCCACGCTGCGCCCTCCTGCCCAGGGGACGAGCACGTGAGAGGGCTGCCGACGTGCGAGGGGCAGCCACGGCCGGGAGCAGCCTCCCCATCCCTCCACCCCTGCAGCCAGGACAGGTCAGGTGACAGCATAGAGCTCCTCACGGTCGTTCTGGCAGATCTGATAGCGACACGTGAGCTTCTGGGACCAGGCCCAGGGCTTCTTATGCTTGTCCCGAGGAGGGAGCAGGAAAGCGACGCTGCAAGCCACCAGCACGTGCCAGATGCTGTGGGTGTAGTAGTAGTTCTCATTGGTTTCCATGAAGGCGTACACTGAGATGGCAATGAAAGCCAAGGTGATTCCTGGGAGGAGGTAGAAAACCCAGCGCTTCCACGAGGAGGGATAGCAGTGCCTGCGCTTTGCTCCGTGGTGAACCTGGGGGGTCAGAGCACGCAGGGCTTCAGCAGCCCAGCAGAGGCTGGGGCAGGGGGGAAACCGACCCCAGAGCATCTGCCAGCCTCCCAGGGCGCTTGCTGTCCCTGGGGGATTCAGCCCCCTGCTGTTTGGGCCTATCTCTACTCTGCAACCCCCCGCCAAGAGCTGTGGCACCAGAGCCCAGCACAGATGCTACAGCTCCTGCCCAGGGCCAAGCCACAGCCCGTGTTTTGGGGCAGCACTGCAGCTCCAGGTCTGAGACCCAGAATCAGGGATTTCTCAGCTACTGCAGGGCTGGAAGGTGAATCCCTTGCTCTGCTCCCTCCACCTGGTGTTTCAGGGTTTCAAGCCAGGTCTCTGGATGGGCTGGAGCCTTGGGTCAGATCTACCACTTCCATTCCCATGGGGAGCAAAGGGCAGCAGGTCCTGCCTGGCTGCCCTCACTTACCCACGCTGTAACCATGATGAGCAGGGCGAAGAGGCAGGGACCCATCATGTTCCACACCCCTCTGCGGTCCAGCTGCAGGGACATGGCAATTAACAGGGTCCCCAAGATGAAAAGGACCTGGAAAAGAGATACCACCACTACTGGCAGGAGCTCATCTGTTGAGAGAGCACAGCCAGACATGCCAGAGGCAAGGAGAACCTCTTCTTCTGGCTTCCCAGCTCTGCATCCATGCAAGAGTCAGGAAAAACACCTTCAAGAATGAGAAACCACAGAAGCCACAAACCTTTACCCCAAATCTCAGGGGAAATTTTCAGGCCCAGCCCCTACAAGCACACAGCACAAGCCAAAGTGCTGGGACAAAACAAGCCAGGGTGGCACTGGGTGACAAACAGGCTTTGTCACCCAGCCGTGTCACTAAAATACAGCGGTGAGAGGGCTCAGCGTGGCCACTCATGGCTTGGCTGGCTGGGGTCGGGCCGGGTCATGTGGGGACACCTGACACTCACGTATTTCAGGATCTTCTTGAGGCGGGCCATGCACAGGATGGTGACCCAGATGGACACCACGGAGCCCAGGAAGTCGCAGTACTGCAGGGTGTCGTAGTCCATGATGCACATCACGGCCACGCCCGGCTGGTCACACGCGTGGTAGAACTGCGCCGGGGACAAAAGCAAAGGTCAGCATGGAGCCAGCAGCACCACACGGCTCTCACACGGGAAGGGATGGCAGGAGAAGGCTCAGCCCACAGGCAGGATCCCTCCTGCAGTGGCTCCAGGAAGCTCCACCAAACCACTGTGGATTATGGAAAGCAGGTGAGAGCAGGCACACTGCACTGTCCCAGCAGCTCTGAAAGGGCAGGACACAGAGCTGGGGCAGGTCCAGAGGAGGGACATGCAGCTGATAAGGGGACTGAAGCACCTGCTCTATGAAGACAGGCTGAGAAAGTTGGGGCTGTTCAGCCTGGAGAAGAGAAGGTTGCATGGAGAACTCATAGCATCTGAAGGGGGCTACAGGGAAGCTGGAGAGGGATTCTTCTCAGGAATGGAGTGATGGGAGAAGGACTAATGGGTACAAATTGAAAGAGGAGAAATTTTTTACTCTGAGAATGGTGAGACACTGAAACAGGTTCCCCAGGGAGGTCGTTGATGCCCTAGCCCTGGAAGTATTCAAAGCCAGGTTGGATAAGGCCATGGGCAACCAGGTCTAGTGGGGGTGTCCCTGTTCATGGAACTAGGTGATTTTTAAGGTCCATTCCAACCCTTTAACATCCTTGGATACTACAATGTGCCCATAGAGGTATTTGTCCAATGATCCCAGGAGCTCCGGGATGGGCTGCTCCACCAAGGACTTCATTCTGGCCAGCATTCCCAGAGCTCAGGGGGAGGTGCCAGGGGACACAAGGCAGTCCCTACCGTGGAGAAGAACATGGTGTAGGTGTAGACAGAAGCCTCCACCAGGTAGAAGCGATAGACAGCGACTGCAATGGCGGGCAGGAACATGAGGTTGCTCAGGGTGAGCAGGAGCGTGGCCAAGTTCTGTGTGCCCACAGTCTGGGCCTTGGTGTCATCTGTGCAGCTCCAGCCGCCCCAGCCTGTGGACAGAGAGGTTTCTGTGGATCTCAAAGACCCTGCCTTGTCCTCCCACAGCAACCAGCAGGAGCCTGGGGTGCCTGAGAAGGAGCAATCCCACACCCAGACTGCCCCTGAGCCTCTTCTCCATCAGCCTCCCACGCTCCTGCTCTCAGGTGTCTCATTACTCGTCACACACTCTGCTCTGGGAAGCTGGGGAAGCCCAGCAGAGCCCCGTGGCTGCCCTGAGGACATTGCCCAGGTTGTCCCCATGTAGCAGAGGCCATCCTACATCCAGACTGGTACTTTCCATCCCTGCAGTAACTCAACACACATGCTACTTGCTGGTGGAACATCAAGCACTCAAGGTTCAGGTGCTTCACATGGTGCTGTAAGTTGGGTGCAAGATCCCTGCAGATCTCAGGAATCAGGAGATTCCTGAGAATGATCCTCAGCAATGAGGAAGCCACTGGGCTCGTCTCCTACCAGCTGTCATAGCAGGGCAGACCCAAAACCAGGTCAGGCTGCTCTGGACCTTCCCCACCTGACTTTTGAAGATCTCCAAGGATGGAGACCTGGAACCTGTGCAAAAACAAACAGCTCTGAAGGGGGAAAAAAATGTGTCTTCTTCAATTTAGGTGACAATTTCCTTGCTGCAGCTAATGTCTGTGGCCTCTTGCCCTTTCCCTGTGCTCACCCTGCATAGCTGGCTCCAGGGTCCCTGTAACCTCTGGGCAGCAGGAAGTGACTGGTCCCACTCCAGCTCCTCTTCCATTGGCTGAACAAACCCACTGCCACAGCCCATGGTGACATCCAGGGCTGCACAGGAGCCTGGGAGTGAAAATTTCCTAAAGGACAGTACCTGACACAAAACACAACTCTCACCCCCTGACTGGATACCAAGGATTGAACTGAGGCAATCTGTATGAACACAAATCTGCCTCTTCTTCTTAAAAATTGTTTAAATTATTTTAATTAAAGATTTGGATGCCCATGCCCTCCTTTTGAAGAAAAGAGGTCAGCCCAAAGAGCAGCTGGGGTATGTGCAGGCACTCCATGGTCAAGAAGCAGAGTTAACAGCAGCATCCATCCCACTCCAGAGTGACTGGAACCCACAGCAGCAGCTCTGCCCTGTGTGCTGGCTCCCTGCCAGGCAGAGCCCAGGGAACCTACTCTCTCTGGTTTATTTCTGGGTCACTAATATGCAGATGGGGCATTTTGCTCGGAGTGATTCAGCAGAAAGCTGTCCTCAGCCTGATTCTCCAGTTCCCTTAAGGTGCTCTGTGCTTCTCAGAACCAGGCAGCCCTCGGGGAAACCGGGATGCTGCTCTCCATCTCGCTCCTCACCCATCAGCAGCACTGCAGCAGGGAGGTCCTGGCTCAGGTCCAGAGCAGCAGGGAACCACATTTTGCCTCGTCCTTCTGCTGAGAACAGGTGCACAGACCCACCCAAGCACAGCAGAGCTCATCCTCCCTACACCACAGACTTCCCAGGCCATTAAGATAATTAGGAGCTGACACAGATATTCCTCCTCCAGGGGCACCTCTGAGTCTAAGGCTCTTGGCAGGAGACACAGGGACTGCAGCCCAGCTTATCACATCTTGTACCAAGAGCCTACACAGCAAACCTTGACAGGCACAGGCTCTGACACAGGCATTTTCAGGCACCCTGATCTCTCTGGGGAGGCTCAGCAGCACTATTCCAAGCCCTGGGGGGCTCCAAGCTGTCCTCATCCCAATTCCCCATCACCTCTGGGTGCTTCCCACAACTTTGCTTCCCCAGGTACTGCGACACTGCCACCCACAGCAGACCCCAGGCTCCCCCAGTCCAACACCACCACCCTAAACTGTGCTGTCCCCTCGGGGAGGATGGCAAAGCCTCCCAGGATGAGGCACTCACCAGCCTTGCAGCTGCAGCCAGCGTAGAGGTAGCCGTGCCTGCGCAGGAGGCTGCACTGCCCGTAGGGCCCGCAGTCGTTGAAGCAGGGCGTGAGGTACGCGAACACCGTCACTTTGCCTTCGGCACCGCCACATTCCCTGCAAGGACAGCATGTCCCCTTGCTGCCACAGTCCTTGGGACAGCCCCCTGACTGCTCCCAGTGGCCGGGCTGTGCTCCTGCCTGCAAGCTGCCTGGTATTTCGGGATCTGCCAGGAGCAGAGCCTGCTCCCTCGCCACTTGGGCTGCCAAAGTGACATCCAGGTGGGTGTCAGCTCTCCCCAGACCCCCTTGGCAGACCCCAGTGGGCATGGCTGTCCTCAGGACCAGTGTCACCAGTGCTGTTTTGCATCATACACTTGGCTCCTTACACAGGAAACCAGCAGGAAGGCAAACTGCAGGAATTCTGCACCTTAGAGACCTCCCAGAAGGATAACAGCAGCAATTATTTCCCAATTTATCACCTCTGAATCCACCTGGGGAAGGGGAAGCTCACCCAGGCAGGCTCTGCCATCTGCAGTCGACGTGAGCTGTGCCAGCTCAGCATCAAACAAGCTGCACAAGGGAGCAAGTGAGCAGGGCCACCCACCTCCCTGTCCCTCTGCAGCCACCGTGCAACTGCCACCAGGTGAGAGGAGCCCACAGCCCGGACAGGAGGACAGGGGTCAGGTTTGCTCACACAAGGGCAGTGGGAGGTAGCAAGGTGACATCCAGACTCACCCCTGTCCCTTGGGGCAGAGGAGCTGCAGGGACAGGAACCAGTCATCAGTCTGTGGGTACAGGACAATCAGCATGGCTTCTGCAGAGGACGTGCTCACGCTCAGAGGGTAGCCCTGGGAGAAAGCTGAAAAAAGGAGGGTGCTGTGATGTGCCAGGGCTTGAGGAGAAGAGCCCACAGCTATCCCAGGCTGAGACTGAACACACAGAAATCAGCTGCCTCCTGTGGCTCCTTGCTCCCACGCTCAGGAGGCACCAAGGGCATGGAGAGGACCCCTGCTCTCAAGACCCTTTTTCTTGAGATCTCAATTTTTTCTGTCATCTCAGCTCCTGGTACACATCTGGGCAGCACAGGGCACCTGGAACAGCCTGTTGTCTTGGCTGGTCCTCCAGTGCACAGCTTAACTGCTTTGCACACCAGCAGTACCTTCACCATCCCCAAACCTCCTGCCAACAAGGCTGGAAGAGCCCCAGCTGGTAACCAGACCTTCCTTTGGCGGAGGCTATCTCGTGGTGCCAAGACTACCACCTGCACCCTAGCACCCTGGGAATGTGCCAGCACAAAGACCTCATGAGGGTTTGTGCAAAAATTGGATTCTTTGGGACACACCATGAAGTCCTGAGTCAGTTAACAGCTTGCCAGGTTTGAAAGCAGAGCCCTGGGATGACACAGCTGAGCTGGTGGCAGTGCCAGCATGTCTCCTACCTGTGCTGCAGTTCTGTGTGGCGTTGAGGGACAGCACTGGAGAAGCAGCACTCACACAGGCTGCCACGGTGGCATTGGCCAGGCTCACAGACGTCTGTGCAAACAGAGCAGTGCCCCCCGTTAGAGTGCCCCGATGCCATCCCCCTGCACCATTCCTTTCCTCAGTACCCAGGGACAATAAATCCTTCAGGTCCAGTCACCCATCAATTCAGAAGGTTTCTGTTTCACTGGACCTTGTGCTACCACTGTGTTGTGTCATTGCTGAGGGGCAAGAGACCCTTGTGGGGGACCCTGCCCCAAAACTGGGACACCCACTCATTATTTCAGCACCAGCACAGGGGAGACACAAGTCAGAGTCTGCAGAACATCAGGGCTGAGCCCTGGGCCAGCCATCAAGAAGTTTAGTGGAATTTCAGGGGGCTGATTTTGGTGGTGGTGGTGGTGGGGTGTCACTGAAGGAGCCTGGGAATCAGTGACTTGGACAGGAACATCCCTGGGTTCCCCTGCTCAGCTTCCTCTCCTGGTGGCAAGGTGCCAGGCTCCCTCGGAGAAGATGGCATTGCAGCTGCTTTCCATTCTGTCTCCTCTGCGTCACTGCTGCCACACACTGCAGGCTGTGCCATTTGCATGGGAGCTGGCAGGTGGGGCATGCTGGAAGCAGCTAAAAAAGGCTCGGAGTATTTTGTAACAACAAAAAGAGAAACAGTCCCGCTGGTGCCTACAACCTCTGGGGCATGCAGGAGCAGGGACAAGCCCTGCCAAGGGGACCAGGGGACACAATCAGCCTGCTCACCTTGTTGAGCAGCAGACTGACCACGAGGGCTCCCCCGCTGTCCATGCCCGTGTTGAGGTTGAGCAGGAGCAGGGTGGGGGCCAGGGGGCTCACGGGCACGCTGGGGCCGTTCAGGAGCCGGTAGCGCACGGACACCACGTCCAGGTCCTCCCTCACCACGGGCTGGCTCTGCAGGCAGGAGCTGCGCTGGCCGGACGTGTTGCGTGCAGCCTCTCCTGCAGCTGGGGCAGAGCTGCCTGCTGCCCCTGGTCTGGCACCAGCCTGGCTCTGGTTTAGGCTGATGAAGTTAAGGAAGGAACTGGTGCTTCCTGGTCTGCAAACTAGAGCCAAAAAGGAGAGGAGTCAGCACAGCCAGGTCTAGCACCTCACCCAGGCAGGGCCCCAGCAGATCCAGTGCTCCAAGGGGCAGCACAAACTGGGGGGTTTCAGGTGGTTCCTGCCCGGCATGAACTGTCCCTGAGGTGCCATCTTTGCATGAGCAGCATCCACAAGCTGGGACAGTGCTACAGTGGGTGTACCAGGCAGTGGTACAGTGGGTGGAAGCACCATGGAGCTGCAGGGAAGGGGGAACAGAAGAAGGAATAACACAGCACAATCAAAGTGTCCAGGGAGTGCTCACTCACCACCAGCAGAGCTCAGCACTCAGCTGTCCCACAGCCACAGGCTGCACAAGTCTCTCCCAACTCCCCATTTGTGAGCAAACAAAGCTGAGCAGGAGGGAGAAGCCAACCCAGTGGAGCTGAATGGGACACTTGGAGTCCCACTGCTGGAGACTGTCCATTGCTGCCAGAGACTCCAGTACTACCCTCTAATAACAGCTCTGCTGCCAGTGCCAGGCCTTCCAGCACACAGGATGAGGCTCTGCTTTGAAGAGGAGGTGGCAGAACCACCAGCAGAAGAAAACTTTAACAATGTACCTAGTTGGTGAACTTCCAGCAGTCAAACAGGGAGTATGGCCATGTAATAGGTGCAAACATGCCTATCACAGCCACAAGGACCTTGTGACCACCTGAGCCACATGGTGTCACTGGAAGTGGTGACACCCCCTTACAACTCCAGACATTTCCCCAAGTAAACCTCTGTGAGGTGGTTTCCTGCCTGTAGCCTGCTCTTGGCCAATTAGTAGTCAACACAGCCTTAGTCTGGTTACCACAAAAACTATTTTTCCCACCAAATTTTAAGCCAGCCACTGCTTCCCAAACAACCTTTAGAAAAATAACACTGAACTTTTCAGGTGTTTCCATATGGGCAGCTCTGGCAAAAGCCTCTCTGGGGTGAACACTGGAGTTTTCAATTTTGATCCCAAAGCAAAAACTATGGCATCCACGAGGAGGCAACCAGGACGATGGGGAGCACAGGCCACCACAGACAGGCACCCAAAGACCCAAGGGAGACACAGCACACACAGAGTTCCCTCTGGTCCTTCTCTTATGACTAAAGAACATGGAATCCCACCTGTGAAAGAAGCCAACATCTCCACGGACACGCTGGCATTGGCAGTGCCGAGACTCTCCACCATGATCTGCAGCCACTTCTCCCAGGGCGGTGACTCCAGGGCCAGGCTGCAGTTGATGCTCCCCGTGCAGGTGAGGCTCCTCTGGAAGGACTGGGGCAGGGTGATGGAGCCCAGCAGCACCCGCACAGTGCAGGCTCTCTGCTCGCTGGTGACGCAGCTGCTCAGCTGGAACCGCATCCCTGCGGCGTGCTTGGGAACGAAGACCCTGCAGGGAGGGAGCAGCAGTTTGCAGAGCTTGTACTCTCAACACAAGCCAGGTCCCCAGGGCTTTGTGACAAGAGCTAGACTGCCCTGGTTGGTGCTGTGAAAATCCTTCCCAAGGCAAACATCTGGAAGAACTAAAATTCCTGCGGTTGAATCTGTGACCACTTGGGAAGAGTCGGAGAAGGGTGCTGGTGTGCTCCCCGTGCAGACCCTACCACTGCTGCAGGGAGCTCTGCAGCAGGCTCACAGACCCCCCACCTCCAGCCCCACATGGGAACAACACTGGCTTCCCCTAAGCAGCTCGTGTGGGAAATTCCACCCTGCCATGCCCTCAGTTGCCCACCCGCTGCTCCCACTCACTTGACATGCAGTGGCTTAGCAGGCGAGACAACGGTGTGTGGCATGGGGACACCAGGCTCCAGGACAGGCATATCAGTGAGTCTGAGCACAAACATATCTGCCTGGAACATATAGGGGCATGGAGTGGAGAAACCCTGCAGGAGGGGAGAGCACAGGGGTCAGCAGTGGTTGTGATGAGACACGCGGGGCAGGGTCTGGGCAGGCCCCTCACCTTGACCTCGATCCTGCCCGCAGCCTGGGGCAGGTGGGCAGCGATGAACCAGTCCCCAGCAGCGGGGGTGCTGACGTTCACGAAGGTGGTGTTTTGCACAGCGCCGCTCAGGGTGATGCTGATGTTGTAGGAGGGACGGACGGTGGCGTTGGCAGGAAAGCGAGTGCCCAAAGGGTTAATGACGGGAGGGGCTCCGTGCCGAAAGTGCCTGCGAGACAAACCACGGTGAGGGCAAGCCCGGGGAGGTACAGACACAAGCAAGATAAACTGGCCTGGGACTGGAAAGGGAGCAGGCTGGAAAACCCCACATTTTCAAGTGGAGTCATCATTTTCATCTGGAGAGGACTGGCTGCTATTAGGTTATCTGGGATTTATTTAGAGATTGGTTTAACTTGGCAGCTTATTAAGATTTACATGGTTCCATCAAGCCTGGGAGCAAATTTCCAACACTGGCTAAGGCTAAGCCCCACCCACAGACTACTGCTTTATAACCGTCACAAATTCCCCATATAGGGAAAATTGTCCACAAAGAACTTTAATTTTCTAGCTAAGATCTGCATCTTCCCATTTCCTCTTTTAAGGAAGGCAAATAGACTGAAAAGACATTTTCCAAGGAAGGCCCCTATTACAGACTTCAGTACAGCAGCACTTCTGCTTTCTAGATAAGCCCAGCATTTGAAGTAGCAGAAACACACAGAGCTGAGGAATGTGGGAGATATTTACCCAATCAATTTGGCATTTAATTTGATTGCTTTTGGACTGCACTGCAACAGGTCCAGCAAGCAGACATGACAGGTGATATGTTATTACTCCTTGGAGCTTATCTGTGTTAGCCATCATTTCTCCGATTATTGTTTAGCTGCTGCCTTGTCCCTCACGTCCCCACACTACTGGAAACCTTTCTATGAAGCAGAAAGCAGGCAGATCATCTGTGCCAGGCTGCTCAGGAGCAACTAAGAGTGCCAGTCTCCCCAGGACAGACCGGGGAGGCACAAGCCAAGCAGCTTCGGTCACTCCCAGATCTCTGTGGAATGGGTGCCAGAGACCCATGTGACTCCATGGGCACAACTTGCTGAGGAAGCTTGGTGTCCTCCAAATATAAAGCTCAAAATCTGGCAAGTTTTGGACATCAAATCCTTCAACAAGTCAAGTACTGCTTTAAAAGCAGCATTTCTCTCACTGACATTGCGTTTGCAATCTTCTCATGCTCCTGTGTCCACATGACACCACATTCTTCTCCTATCTCTGCTCCACGCTCGGCCATGCCCCTCACAAAGTGCCCTCAAATCTCCTCAGTTCTTCTGCACTGGGCAGTTTGCCCATCTCCAGCCAGTCTGGGTCTGCTCAAGTCTCTGTGTAGTCCTGCCACGTCGTTTGGCAACATGTGCAGGTTCTGCCAGGCCAGGAACAGCTCTGAGCAGCACACCTGCCTCAGTGGGAAGCTCTCTCCAGAGTCCTAAGGGGTCTCTTGGACACCACACATGACAGGCAGCTCAGATCCGCTGGTAACATGAACCCAAAACACTCCCACAGCCTTAAACACAGACTCACTGCTGCTGCATGAAGAAACTACAGATCGTGCAGCTGAGGAACTGCCCAGCCTCAACAACCAGCCAGCCCCAGCCACGAGTGACCAGGAAAGAGGACAAGAAGCCCAAAGGACAAGCCCTGGCACGGGGACATACATACACAGTGATCTCCATGCTGGTGCACTCGGGGCCTTTCCCCCGGGATGCCTGCAGCAGCCAGCGGAGCAGCACGGTGTCCTCGGGCACGTGGAAGTGGAAGAGCTTGGCGTTCCCATACCAGCTGTAGAAGGAGAGCTTCTGTGCGCTCTGAGAGAAGTACTCGGAGACATACAGGGAGTCTGGAAAGGAGAGAGCACAGCAGTTGGTGGGGGAGCTGCTGGGGGCAGGTTGCAGGGCTTTATCCACCCACAGAAGCACACAGGAGGCTTAATGTTTCTTGGAACAGTGCACTCTGTGTCCCTGATTTATCATTCCAGTCCCATTAGATATGTGGTGATCCATGCACCTCCAGCCAGAACCACCCACATGCCTACTACAAAACCATCACCCTGAACTAGAGAGCACTAACAGATGCCTAAACTTCACTCTGAGAAATGTGCCCTGAAGAGAAGAGATCACCAGAGACACGAAGGAGGAGGAAAAGGTCAGGAGGAAAGGTTGATGGCAGAAGGAAAGGTGATGGAATAGGCAGCAGGGAGCCCTGGGCACAGCACAGAGCAGATGTATGCAGGCAGCACAGGGGTGCCCTCTGCCCCAGCAGCAGTTTCTGGTGCCAAGAGACAGGAGCTGTGCCCTTGTCTCCTGCTGAGCACATGGGCTGATGTTTTACATGGGCAGAGAGTGAAAGGATGGGGGATGATTTAAATGAAAGGAGAGGAGATTTAGATTGGGTGTTAGAAAGAAATTCTTCCCTGTGAGGGTGAGGAGGCACAGATTGTCCTGAGAAGCTGTGGCTGCCCCATCCCTGGAAGTGTCCAAGGGCAGGCTGGATGGAGCTCAGAGCAACCTGGTCTGGTGGAAGGTGTCCCTGCCCATGAGAAGATCTGTAAAGGTCCCAAACCATTCTGTGTTTATCCATTTACCCAGCTCAGGACACAGGTACTGCCTTCCTGTGACATACAACACTATGCAAATTTATGTGCTGCAAATGTAACTCTTTCAGACATGCCTTCTAAAGCCTAGCAATTTTCCTAGCTGGAAGAAAGACTGCTGGGACAGTGAGAACAGCCCCAGGGTAGGATGAAAGGGTGTGCAAGAGGACAACAGCTACTCAGTCAAAGTGCCATCAGGATGGACTAGATCCTCCATCCCTCTGCCCAGCTACACACCTACAGATCATCCCCAGCAAAATGCGCATTACCCAAACCAGCCAGACTGCAGCTCAGGGCTGGCAAAGAAGCATCACAGCAGCTGAGAAAGGGATAAACTGCACAGAGACAGCGGAGTCACGGCCACCCAAAACCAAAGTTTGTAACACTCAGCAAGAGGGTAGAAGGTTATGTTGTCATGTGTCTGTGGAGTGCTTCCTGATGCTCCTTTCCTACTTTGGAACCCCCAGAGTGGGGAGAAACTGTGGCACCTTTCAGAGGCAGATTCCTCATTTCTATCATAGAATAGCAGTGAGGGTGAGTTAACTTGGCCTTCCCTCAAAGCTGCACAGGGTCGTGCTGCAAACACAGAGGACCCAACTGTGCACAAGAAAGACAGCAAAGAAAGAGGAAAACAATCCTTAGGCAGGAGCAGATCCTTGGGACGTAGTTCCTGCCGGGAGGAATCTAATCCTAGCAGGAGCTAGGATCCATGCCCCAAAGGAGGACGCTGGCCGGCCTGCACCGGCAGGGCAGGGAGACAGGAACGGTAATCACGGCTTTGACTCCTTGGCAACTTACCAAGCCAGAGCCTGCGGGCATCCTGCAAGCCCAGCAGGGAAAGGAGGAAACAGGAAAGCGAGAAATACCAGCCACACAAGGCAGCTGGAGGATTTGCTCCTGGAGGAAGAGCCTGGCTCTGACCTTGCCGCAGGGGCCAGCCAAGGGAGCAGAGCTGGCAGCACCTTCGTGCAGTCAGGAAAGGCCACAGGGGAAAGTGAGCCTTGAGCAGGACAGCCAAGAGGCCACAGCCCTGGGCAGAGCTGTCCCACTGCAGTCCCCACGCCAGGGTCACACTTCTCTCCAGCCAGCAGGAGCAGAGACCACAAAAGGGGCTTTTCAAGCCAATGTGAAACGCCAGCGCAGCGCGTGGGTACTGCGGACAAGAGCTGGCTGAGATCCCTCAAGCCCAGGGACATTTCCCACACCGGGGCTATGGAAAGGAGCAGGCTTTCATCAGTGGTGTCTGTGCCCCCAGCACACTCCACACACACTTGGCACGCTCGTTTCTGGCAGCCCATGGAGACATTTGGGCACAGGAGGAGGGTAGGCAGGGACACAAAGCGTGATTAGAGCTGGGAGAGCCCTGGTCCTTCTCCATGCAACAGGTCCCATCAGACGACCTACAGCCTGCCCCAAGCCCACCAGCTGTCAGCCACGGCCACCACCCATCCTGCACGTCCTCACCAAGCCAAAGCTCCCTTGGTGTGGGTTTGGGGGAGGACAGGGCAGGCCAACTGCAAAATTAAAAACTCCAGCAATCAGCAGCGCTCTTTATTAAAGACTGGTCAATTATGTGGAGCGAGCTCAAGAGCATTACCAGGTCAGAGCAGGCAGACCTGCCCTGCCCACGCACTGCCTGTCACCAGGTAAGCACCAGCTGAGGCTGTGGGCAAAGTCCACTGACAAACAGCTTCTTGTGGTGACAGGGGCTGAGCCCCTGCTCACAGGCTGTGCTGGGCACCCAGAGCTGCACCAGCAGCCTGGTATGTGACTTCCTCCACCCAGGGTGACAAGGAAATACCACAGATAAGCGGGACATCAGCACAGAAAAGCCTGAAAGACAGGTCACTGCAGCCAAAGCGTGTGCTCTGGCAGCCCATTTGCATCAAGAGAGAGTTCTCTGGCATGTGCTGTGCTCTGTTTGTGTCCATCCCCATCTATTCAGTCTGCTCGACACCAGCATGGCAAGACCTGGAAAGTCCCATTTGACTGTTCCATGATGTGAAACAAGCTTTAAACAAGCAAGAGACCTGTCCAGTGGATGCTGTTTTCCATCCTCTTCCATACAGATCTCGCATAAGCGGATTTCAAAGGTGCTGTGCAAAAACCAGAAGTGTTTAAGACAGACAAGGAACAGAAGGCGGTAGGATCCCTGATGTACAGATGAGACACATTATTTCAATTTCAGAGTAAAGAGTCACCTGCTACAGCTTGGGTTTGTTTGTCCAAAGATGATCTCATAGGACATAATACCTTGACTGCGGGTTTCACAGGGCGCCCCATCAAAGGGATGAAGCCCTCATTTCAAAGCAGACACTGTCTAAAGCTACAGAGTTGATGAGCCTGACTCGAGAAAAGACTGGGCTATGTTGCAGGATGTTTTCCCACTTACAATGTAACAGAAATCCCGTTCCTTTATCCCGGGTCTAAAATCCACCCGCAAACGTTGCAGAGCAAGGACCCCTCGCTCTCCTGGGGAGCAGCTGATCTTTGCCAGCGCCCAGCCATAACCCTACGGAGCTATTCCCTACGGAGGCATTCCCACAGCCGGCGGGACGGCGCCGGGACAAACCCAGCACCACACCTGAGGCAGGGGAGCTCTCCAGGGCTGGGAACCCAGCGAGCAGGATGCCAGAGCAGGGTGGGCCTGGGGCACGGGGCCATGTCCCCCGCGGCTCCCCGAGCCTCACGCTCCGCAGACTGTGAGGAAGCGATAAGCACCATCAACAGGACAACCACGGGCAGAACGAGCCGATCTCCGACACGGAGCGAGCAGGTGAACAGCCTCACCTCCCCAAACCCCTCCACCCCAGAGCAGCTCCGGAGGGGGGGCACAGTCCCGCGGGACCCCAGACCCACCGCTCTCCCAAAAGCCCCGCTCCCATCCGTCCGTCCGCATGCACTGGAAGTAAAGTAACCTGAAAACAAGCAAAGCCAAGGAGAACAACCGCTGCAGACACAGCAGAACCCTCTGCGAGTGGCCTGACCTCCCAGTGCTCCGCAGGGCCGGCACAAGCGCGGCTCCCCGGGGATGCTCAGGAGCCCCCGACTCCCTCGGGAAAGCACGAAGCCACCCCGAAGTCACTGCAGCTCCACCCCGGCAGCAGCTGCGACACCCGGGGCAGCTCCCGGGGCTCCCTTCAGCATCACCCTCCGCTTTCCCACCGCCGCCTCTGCCCCCCAGCCCCCGCGGCCGCCCCCGCCGTGCCCCGGCCCCGCGGCTCGCCCCTCTCCGTCCCGCCGGCACTCACCGGGGCCGGCGCGGTCTTCCGCCGCCCGCCCCGCCCCGGGCCCGCCCCCCGCGGCACCGGCAGCGACCGAGCGGGAGGGACGAAGCGGGGCTGCCCGCGGGGCCGCAGCTGCCGCCGGGGCGCACCGCCCGCTCCGTCCTGCGAGCCCCGGGATGCGCCTGGCGAGGCGGAGCATCCCGGGCACGGGGGAGAGCCCCGGCGTGGTGCCCGTGGTGCTCCCGGTGTGCTTCTCAGCGCCGTGAAGGCCGAGGAAGGTGGTAGTTGGGGATCAGGGGAAGGTGAAATCACAAACGTGCACATGCCTCGGTCGTAACCGGACAGCCCACCGTGTGTCCCCGCTCAGACGGGAAATCACCGGGGAGGCTCAGCCCTTCCACTGATGGGTGATTGAATGCTCGTTCCTGCAAAGCCCGATTGCTTTCTCTGCTCGCACTTATCTGCCATTTTCACAGGACTCACGGGAGACGTGGCTTTCATAGGCACGGTCAAGTCATTCTCTGATTTTCCAGCTGATTTCAAAAGAGTCAAGGATTTTCTTTGTTTTCCTTGGGATATCTCTGATGTGTTCCCCAGTGGAAATAATGCAACCTGGGGACAGTCTCGGAGTCCTTGCTCAGGCAAAAATCCCACCACTCCCTTACTGGTCAAGTCCTCCTTAGCTGAGGACTTCAGGCCTGTTTCCAGTCAACCACAAGCTCCCTGGAGATGGAGTTTCTACTTCTGGAGCTCAAAATCTTTGCTGCTTGCTCTCACAAGATCTTACTCTTTGTAATAGATTCTTGGGGCACGGGAAGGAAATCCCCTGGGGAAGTGCCTGTCATTTTCCAGGAGCTCTGACATCACCAAAATCCCAGTCAGAGCAGGCTGTGTGCTCAAAGCTGGCAATGTCCTCGCCTGATTTAGCAGAAGACTTCCCTGAAGTCAGCCCAGAAGCCTGAGCACATGAAGCTCAAGGGATGGAAAAGGACTATTCAGCTAATTCCCAACTTCAATTTGTTCACTGCTTGTTCATTTCCATTTGCCCCTTTGTGATACTATCCTTGAATTTTCAGAGCTCTCCTTCTAAGAGGAAAACAAATAAACCCTTCTGTCCCCATTCTACATTAATTTAGCCTTCAACTCCACTTTTAAAGATAACAGCTCGTCTCCAATCAGCCCTTATGAATTACTTTCTTGAAATGCCATTTCTAGTTATTTTCCTCTTAAAAGATTAAAAAAAATAATTCAAAGACCTGAGCATAAATTAAGCTCATCTAACACAATGCAGAGTCAGATCCAGAATGTGTTACAATACCTATTTTTTTTTCACAGCTTGGGTCCCTTGGAGTTGCTTGTTCCCAAGAGAAGCATTCCAGTGTTCACTGTAACTGTGTGGATGGATGCTGTAGGACATGCCACCTCCAGACTGACAGCTGCTCCAAACACATGGGGACATGCAGAAGTTGTCATTGGCTTAGTGACTGTGTGGGCTGCTCCTTTTCCCTTTGGCTAAGCAGCCTTGCAGCCTCAGAAGGGGTGAGTTTGGGCCAGGGAGGGTCTCCTTTTGGCTGCAGAGCTGGAGTTGGGGCTGAAGCTGGAGCTGGAGAAGCTGAAGCTTCCTCCACTTGCCCAGTCAGTGGATCACAAAGACCTGCAGCCAGGCAGAAGGTACAGCTCCAGTGGCATCTACCTCATCCTGTGTGGCACCAAGAGCCCAGAGGATTCAGAAAACCACATGGGGGATTGTGTTTGTGCTGAAGCCCCAGGGACCATGGCTGTGCTGGGGCCAGGGTTTCTCTCTGACTCAGTGACACTCTGAAAGTGGTGTCGGTGTCCCTGTGATGGTCAGGGCTGACCACTTCTGCTTCCTGCCCTTTGGTCCATGAGTCCTGAACACAGCCCTTCACATCAGCAAGTCAGACTAAAGAGGAAGACCCTGCTCTGGAGAGTGTATTTCCTACAGTGTTTCACACATGCCTGTGGAGAAGTCTGGATTATATTCTGGAAGTATCCTTCTTTGAGGCAACAACCTGGAAAAATAAATAATGGTGGCCTGTGCAAATTGGATTTATGGAGCTTTAACTGTGCTGACCCATGAATTTTGATAAATACATTTCTACTATTAATAAAGGCACTGAGCTGCTCAGCTATTGAGGGATGTCTAAAAGCTTTCTGGATGAGCAGCTGCAATGCACATTTTGCTGTATTGCTTTCCATAAATCCATAGCTGGGATCCTCCTGGCCATGTGCAAAGGTCTCTGGAGAGCACGGAGCTGGCACAGTCTGCTCCCCTATCTCTGATCCTAGTGCAAGGAGTAAAAAAGCTGTCACTGACTGGAAAACTCTGTTTTAACTATTTTCAGTTAGATCTTCATTGAATTGTGTCTACCCAGCAGCTTGACTTGAAGTCACTGTGACAGAGGAAGGGAGAGAATAACGAGGAACTATACCCCAGGATTAGGGACCAAAACTCTGCTGTTAGAGTTGCACAGTTTTAGCTTTAGACAGAAAAGTCAAATGATGTTCCATCACTGCAGGAGGCTGCTGAAAAGATATTTGATGTACTCTGTGGAACTTTGCTATGTGCAGCTCTCAGTGTTACTCACAAAAGGAAAAACAGAAGGTCAATCCTTTCAGTGTAGATAAAGAGGGTGACCTGGATAGGGAAATATGATCTAAAACAGGGGAGGCTGAACTTAAACAGGCTGTTACAGCTCAGGAAAAGGATGCTGGAGTCCTCACTGATGGTTTGCCAAAATTGTAGCCTTGATGTGCAGGGAAAGAAAAATACAGTGTTGTCATCAGGAAGGGCTTGGGCTTGCAAAATAAAGAGGGCATCTCCTGCCTCTTGTGTAACAGCTTGGTGCACCCACATCTGTGCAGGTCTGGCCTCTGATCATGGAATCCTATAATCATGGCATAATTTGGGTTGGAATGGACTTCTAAAGGTTGTCTAGTTCATCACCTCTGCCGTGGACAGGGGTGGCTTCCACTAGATCAGGCTGCTCAGAGCCCCATCCAACCCTGGTCTTGAAAGTTTCCAGGGATGGGGCATCCCAGCCTCTCTGAGTAACCTGTGCCAATGTTTTACCACCTCCACTGTGAAAAACTTCTTCCTTACATTTAATCTTAAACAAACCTCTTAATTTGAAACCATCACCCCTTGTCCTGTCACACCAGGACATCTTAGGATGTGAGAACATTGTGGATTTACACCCCTGAGCAGGGCAACTGAGATCAAGGGGATGGGGTAGCTGCAATATAAAGGGGTTCTGGGGAGGCTAGGATTTTTCTCTGGAGAAAGGGAAGCAAAACCTGCCAGCCCTACAAAATCATCAAGAGAATGTGGACCTGGTGCATGATGAGAGTTAGAGCCATTGATCAGCCTGGTAGATTGATTTAAAATTGATAAAAAGGACTTTGTTTGGAGCAGGTGGGAGAATGAACTTCTGGAACTCGTTGCCACAGGAGGTTGTGGAAACAAATAGGATCAGCAGGTTTATAAAAGGTAGAGCAAATTCATGAGCAGCAGCAGGCCAACAGACAGATGCTGAAGGTAACAGGCAGGAAAGCAGCCTCTGGAATTGCTATTGCTGCTTGTGTGGGAGCTGGAGGAACACAACCAAAGCAGGGCCCTCCCCAGATGGCATCTCCTGCTGCTGAAAAATACAGAAAAACAACACAGGGAGAGAGGAAGCACTGATGTCACCAGCAGAACACTGCCTACCCTCTCAGCTCCAAGCAAAATCAGATCTCCCAGGTGGTTGCTGTGTGGTAGGAAGACAGAGCAACCAGCAGGAAGAAAGATTTTGCATTTCTATTCAATTTCCATCTTTGTAGTGAAAATCTAATCAATGCTCATTTTCTGTCTTCTACCACTCTTCCTTTTTCCACTGGCAAAACAGCCAGTGGAGGAGGTGGGAGGATTCCAAAAAGTTTGAATTAAAGTATATTTCAATCATTCCTTATTTTCAGACTGCTTGCCTAAGAAAAAAAAAATCTACCTCTTCCTCAAAAACTGATGGAAGCCACCTCCAAACATTCAATATCTCTGGGAAAAGAGGGAGGGGGATGGGGTCACGGAAATGAGACCATCGTGTCTCTTGGCATTAGCAGGGTAAAAGGAGGAAAGCAAGGAACTGCAAACCAGTCGGGTTCAAGTAAAGAAAACAAACCAAACACACAGTGGGACTTTTAATCAAAGAAAGAGATGAGTAATAATCATGGACATTGCCAAGAATGAATCCTTTCAGATGAGTCTGTTTTCCTTCCGTGACAGATTCCAATTCTTTGTTTACCCTTATTATTTACTCTTCTCTCATCAATAACTTGTTTTGTAGTGGAGAACATCCTTATTAAGTTCTCACATGTTCCTGAGCTGGAGGAGCTGCAAGCACTGGCTTAAAATTCAAAAGGATTCAGACAAATCAGGGAGATAAGCAGGAAAAATCTGTCATTTAGGAAAGAGTGGCTGTCCAAACACACATCAAAGAAGGAGAAGACCTATTGGCTGCACCACTCATGGGTTACACTATTGCCATATTGAATTCCAATATGGGATGTATAAACAAGAACAGTCTGTAAAACACATGATGTTTTCCCTCCTCATTCCAGCAAGAGGATCTCTCAACTGATCTTAGGGTCTCCTAAGATCAGCTTCCAGCAAGGAATGAATTCCCTATCTTCCCACTGCTGGTTTTTTAGACCCCCTTGCTACTAAGAAGATAGAAAATGAATGGAGAATTCCTGTTAAACTCCCCTAGGATGCTTTACCTCCTCCAGAAGTATGTGTTTCTGTGTCCCTTTCCAGGACACACTCTCTAGGGACACGACTATCTAGCCAACATAATAAGATTAGAATCCAGCCTATCTGGACAATGCTGTTTGCAGCTCGTCAAGAGACTGGTGAAAGTCCTGTGACTGGGTAAGTCATTACCATCAAGCTCATTTCCTGATGTTGTTTAACTCCTCTTTCAATAAAAATGAGCTCTGAGTTGCCACTTGCCTTGGTGTCACCCCAGCACTGTGCTGTTCTGGGGTATCTTTGAACGCTGGCTGCTTTGTCCATCAAGAATAAATGAGAGCTGAGAAAGGCCTGCGAGAGTGGAGACATCAAAACAGGCATGACCTGGAGATACTCATCTCCTTTCTTCTGCTGAAGCTGCCTGGCGTGATTCAGCTTCCTGAGTGCTGCCATGGCCTGGATCAGAGGGCTTTGTGTCCAAATCCACCTCCTCCGTGTCACCTGGGGCTGTTCAGGCTGCTGCTGCTGTGGCAATGCACAAGTTGCCTCCAACTCTCTCCTCAGCACTGGAGCTGCAGCAATGCCGGCTGCAAAACCAGCCTGGGCCAGCACTGAGGCAAATATTTGACCTGCTCTGCACCAGAGCATGGCTGCTGATGGGTCCCGAGGCAGCTGGGCTGGGATGGCAGCTCAGGACGTGCCAAGCTGTGCCCAGTGTGTCTGTCCCACGGGGCTGGCTGTGTCCTGGGGGACGTGAAGGCATGGCCACCAAGGGATGCCCAGTGAAGGGACCCCTGTGCTCTGAGCCAGAGGCACGGGGGGCTCGGGGCTGGAGCTCTCAGCAGGGCACAGGGCTGGTGGGGAGGGGTCCTGCACCCTCCTCCAAGCTGGCACCAGTGTCCCCAAAGCACTCGGGATCTGGGGCTGGCTGGAAGCCCTGGCTGGAAGCCCTGCTTCTCCCAGCCCTCGCACCCTCTGCCTGGCCCCGATAAAGCACGGTGGCTTGAGGTCCCCATCTTGTGGCAGCAGGGACAAACGGCTGGGACAGCACGAGCTCAGTGTTCTCTGGCCAGGCAGAGCCCTGGCAAAGTGCTGTAGGGACAGGACACTGCCCATTGCCACCTGACGTGTCCTGCATGGGTCACAGCACGGCTTGGGAACAGTCAGAAGCTAAAGCAAGCTGGGAACAACTCTCACCCCTCACATACACATTGTCCCCACATTGCTCTTACACCTTCTCTCCTGTACCCACCACGCTCAGGACCATGAGGGCCCTTAGTGGCTGGGTTTGGAGGAGTCCAAGTCCATGCTGGATTTGATGCTGGCTCTTCCCAATGCTTTCCACACCAGCTCACACCTCCTTGCACATCTGTGTGCCCTGAGTCCCCACCATATCCTGGTTCTCCACGAAATCCCCAGGAAGTTGTGCCTACAGTTCTGCCTGGGTGATGTTCCTGGCTGGAAGGGTGGAACCTGCTCTACCACCTGCTCCATACAAAGGTAAAGATTGGCCAGTGATGCCCTGACTGGCTTCCTCCTCCCTTCTTCACTGTGTCCAGGAACAGTGGGTGTGTGGGCTCATGATGCCTGTGGTGCTTTGCAGAATAGACCCTGAAGGGCCTCCTTCTCTCCTTGGAGTTATTGGAGTTTCTCCTGTCTCTGTGCATTCACTGACAGTACCATGGCACTAGGGAAGAGTCCATCCTTGCCAGTGCCAAGGATCAAAGGAGCCTGTGGCAACCTTGGCTGGCTTTGTGAGCCACCCTGGGGCTCCCTTGAACCTTCCCCTCCCCACTAAGGACCTCCCAGCCCTTACTCAGCACCTGGCATGTTGTAGCCTCCTGAGACTATCTGTTGCCCACAGTTGGAGGAGAGCTCACACGTTCCTTTATCAACCCCCACCACGGCCACCCTGCTGTGGGCTGCGATAAGGGCTGGGGGGTGCAGACACCAGCACAACTCCTGGGCTCCTTCTCGTGCCCTGACACCGCCCCGCACTGCTGGATCTGGAGCTGAGCCCCATCTGCTCCCCTTGCAGCTCCCCAGGACCCCCCACAGTGACACCCAGCAATGGGCCATTTGGTGGAGACAGAAGAATTCTTACACCCCTGCACAGCCCTGTGTGCTGGGTGTGCAAGGAAAGGTGCCCTGGCACAGGGAGCTCCTCAGGCCATTCCCACTCTGCTACCAGGCAGAGGGTCACAGGTGCCAGGAGCCCCTGTACTCCTGTGTCTCCTGAAAAATTTTCAGGAGAAGATGTCCTCTGGCTCTGTCCTGAACAAGGGTGCACGGTGCTGGTGGTGCAAGAGGGGATCCCAGCGTGGAATTCTGGTGGGAGAGCCTGGGGCTGCAGGGAGCCCCAGATCTTCCATGAATCTCTCCCTTCCACTGGTGCCTAGAAG